AATAACAGTGTTAAGGATTGTCTACAAAATGAAATGCCTTAAAATGAACTATCTATGGTCTATGAAATGAATTGTCTGTAAATTAATTGTCTTTAAAATAAACTTGTCTACGAATTGATTATCTGTGAAACAAAGTGTCTGTGAAATAACTTGTCTACGAATTGATTGCCTGTGAAACATGGTGTCTGTGAAATAAACTTCTATGAAGTGATACGTATCCTTCTTGGGGTAGGCTTACCGCATTTGTCTTCTTGAATTAGGGTTTTACTTAAGCGTCTTTGTCATGTCATAATATTTTAGCTGGTAAAAAAAGCATAAACTTCTGAGTCACTTATGTAAGAACTTTATAGCGTAAAATTTTTAAATAATTTATATTTAGGTACTCTTTTACTTCAGCCAGTTTGTCTTAATGAATTGCTAAAGAAGTTTGTAGTGATGAATATTTCGATGTTTAAAAAAGTCTTATATTTGAAATGATGAAATTCTTTAGTTATGTGTACTATTGTTAGTTTCAAAAATCCGGGTTGGAAAGCATTAAAACTGACCTGGCATTAAGCTATACTAGCCAAGTACAGTACGCCTATAGAAAGTTATCAGCTGCTTAATGATGGGCTTCGTACGACTTTATTTGGCTTTGTTACACTTTATGCGTGCAGAGACATTAAAAAGTTACAAAATTTCATTTTGATGTTACAATATAAGACAATTAATGGACTAATCAAAAAGGTAACTTTTAATTGTAACTTTTGTACCACTTTGACTAAACATAAAATGTCCTCCGTTGCACTTTAAACAATAAAATTTGCATTTAAGCGTGAATTTTTTTCCTTTAAAAAAAATATGGACTCTAATCAACTTCGTAAACTTGGTTACAATTATCAACATGGCATTGGTATTAAAAAAGACGAAAAGAAGGCTTTCGAATATTATATGAAAGCAGTTGAGTTAGGAAATCCAATTGCGATGAATGACGTTAGTAGTTGTTATTCTTATGGAATTGATATAGAAATAAATCACCAGAAATCATTTGAATATTGTAAGAGAGCTGCTGATTTGGGTAGTGCTATTGGAATATGTAAAGTTGGTGTTCGTTATGAATACGGGATGGGAGTTGAACAAGATCATAACAAAGCATTTGAATACTATCAAAAATCTTCTAATATGGGTGTTAAAGACGGAATGTCTAATATTGCTCGATGTTATCGAAACGGTATCGGTACAAAGAGAGATATTCGGAGTGCAAATTATTGGTTCACAAAATATAGAAGTCTTCTGAAAACAAATAAATCACCAGATCATGTCAATCCTGAACTTAAGAAAGTATTAGACGATGAAAGATTTAAATTGTCATGGATTAATTATTGTGAGTTCAAAATTATCAGAGAAGAAGGAAAAGGAGGGTTTGCAACTGTATATTCTGCACATTGGTTCGATAAAATTAATAGCGCATGGAAAGATGTTGCAATTAAAGTGATTCATGATTCAAACAAAAATGAGCGAGAATTTATTCAAGAATTGAAAAATCACTGTGAGATTGGTTACGAGAATCCCTCGTTCTTGAATTGTTTTGGAGTATCAAGAAATAATTCTGGTGATTATACTATTATTATGCAGATTGCACCAAAAGGCTCGTTACGACAAAATCTTGTAGAAGTATCACAATTAGAATGGAAAGATAAATTGAATGTTTTATACGGTATAGCTTTGGATCTTGAGTCGATTCGTTCGCAGGAACTCATTCATAGAGATTTGCACAGCGGAAACATTTTGCAAGGAGATAATTTGCAATATGTATATATTACTGACCTTGGACTTTCGAAAAAAGTGAATGAAGGAAAAATTTGTGGAATTCTGCCATATATAGCACCTGAAGTTTTGTTGAGTCAGTCATATACTCGAGCATCAGATATTTACAGTCTTGGAGTTATTGCGACAGAGATTTCGACCGGACAAAGAGCATTTGATGGAATTCCTTTTAATGATAATCTTACTTTAAGAATTATCGATGGATATAGACCTAAATGTTTAGGACCAGATTGCTATATTAAGTTAGTTATGAAATGTATTGATAAAGATTCTAATAAACGACCTACTGCAACAGAAATTAAGGAAATAATCACTCGTTGGTTAGAAGAAATGGACTCAGAAAATGACAATGAAATCAAAAAACAATTTTTAGAAGCTAATAAGATTAAACCAGAGTCGGTTAAACAAACACATTCTCAAGACGTTTATATGAGTAAGCTATATGATACTCAAAAAATTTAGTAAACCGTGAATACAATCGAAATTTTGACCATATTCTCAAAATTAGGTTTAAATTAAATTATATAAATTATGTGTTTATGTAACATGCACTTAGGAAGGTACAGCTATAAAATTTCTTTTTAGTTATCAAAATTATGCAATATTTAATCCCATTATATTACAGTGATAATATTTTCCTTCCACTGAATCTATAAATTTTAAATTATTATTTTTTATCGTTTCGGTGGTTTGTTTCTTGAGAGCAGGGTTAAAGATCTAATGGTATCAATGTTCTCAAAAAATTTTAAAAAATTTAAAACATTGCATTTAAAAATTATGATTTCTTTAGAGAACAAACTAAGTACATAAAGTTTATGATTTTTTGTTCTTATAAAATATATATGAAAATGGTAGAATTAATAAAATCGAGTTTTTTTTTTATCATTGAGAACCTTAAAAATTTTTGAAAACATAAAATTCAATTATATTCTCGAAGAACAAAAAAATTTTCAGATCCTTTTCACTGCCTGGGAGTAAGAATTTTTTAAATTAATTTTAAATTTTCTGTCACAATATCCTTCGAAATATTTTATGTACAATAAAAATATAAATTTTAGTTCTAAATTTATTGAGAATTACCAATATGCTAATCAACTTAACAAAGCAATTTTTCATAAGCTCGCTATTTTAACTTTGTATCTAATTAAATGTTGAAAAGCTATGTTATCTATAGGGATGGGTTCGGTCAGCTATGGTCAGCTATCATCGACTATCGACTAGTAGCCGGCTATAGCCGATAAATTATTTGATCAATTTCTTAATAAAATTTTCAATCAAACATACAAACAAGTGCCAAATAACTCTATATTTTTATATGTTATACAGTTATTTATATTAGAGTACCCTAGCCATGGCGAAAAAAAATTCGTGCCACATGCTATAAACAGCCAATCAAAATGATCAAAATATTGAAAATCCCGATCTACATTTTCGAAACAATCTAATTCTGGTCAAATTTGCAGATCGTTTGGCCTGCAAATTTGACCAGAATTAGATTGTTTTGAAGGTTATAGCGAAGACTTCTCTATAACTGATTGATTAAACCCAGTAAATTTTTTTTGAATGTATAATTAGAATAAAAAAAAATTATCGAAATTTGATATATGGGGCGTCAAAAGTAGAAACCAAGGAATTTGACAATTTTTTGAAAATTGACCTGTTTGATTGATCAGGTGTAAAATTTAAAGGCCGATCTTTTTAATTAATAATGAAAGTCTGATCGCTTAATAAATTTTTGCGATACAATGGTTAAAAGCTTTTGACAGCATAATCTAAAAATAGATTTACCATTGCAAATGTTAGTATGATAGTGATCTACAAATCTAATAATCCTGTTTAAACAGGTTTGTTAATATTGAATAAACTATTTTTAGATTGTTTTGATTTTGTGTCAAAATAGTTTTTGCCGATTTTCTCAAAACCCGTGATCGGCCAAATTCCCTGGTTTCTACTTTTGACGCCCCATATAGTTGTTGTGAAATTTTCACTAAAAAACATTCAAATTTTGGTAAATTTTCTTTCTTTTTTTTTTTAAAAAAAAAGATTTCTCAACAATCATTGATTTAGTTCAATGAAATTTTTTTTATTTTAATTCTGTAAGTTTATAGAATTAAAATAAAATAAAAATTATTGAAATTGGATATACCAGAAACGGAGTGGTGCATATTAGTATTTTGGTCATTTGGTCATTTAAAATCAAATGACCAGTCATTTGCCAACACTGATTTGATTAGTACACAAAGTTAAATGCTGTGTCAGGTAGTACATACAGTACGTATATCATATAAAAATGTATTTTATACATATGACTTACAGTTCATTCTTCTTTGACCAAAATTAGTACTGTACTTGTGAAAAGTCATGGCAAATATACCAGAAGAATGGTTTGAAAAGGCTATTTCTGATAGACAAATTAATTATCTCAAATATAATAAATTTACAGATCTCACAGTGATTGGTATTGGAGGTTTTGGAAAGGTCTTTAAATGCGAATGAAAGGATTGTGAATTAACAGTTGCCCTTAAATGTTTTAAAATAGACACAAACTTTAGTATAGATGAAAAAATTATTAAAGATTTTATTAATGAGGTATTATTTATTGAATTAAAATTTTAATTACTAATATATTAAATTAAATATTAATTTTTATACAGTGGATTTTACCTAAAGCTATTATATAAAATACACTTTATTTAAATTAAAATAACTTAATCAAATTTACATATTTGTTAAATTTTTTTTGATAGAAATATTCTTTATTAATTTAGCTACAATTTAATCAAAAAATATTTAACATTTAATATATCAAACCTTTTATAATATCAATTAAAAGTTTGATTATTTTTATATTTATCTTAAAAATTTGGTGTCTATAATTTAATTAATAAATCTAAAAATAGCATCACTTTTCAGAATCTTATGGATATTAACTATCATTTTTGCTTCACCTTGCTTGTAATTTATGTTAGTTCATCATCTATACTAGAAATTTACGGAATACTCTATTTTCTATTTCAACTAAACTTTTTTTTTTATTAACTGTTGCAATAACTAATTAACAACAAAAATAACTTTTCAAATTGAGCGTTACATCTAATCTTGAAATCCAATGATTAGAATAATAATATTAAGACAGTTTAAAAATAAAAATGCAATATGTAATCTAACCCTTAATCCCCAAATTGATTTGTCTTATGCCCACTAACCAAAAAAGTAAAGTAATTAAGTTCATTGTCACGTATAGACTTAAATATAAAGAAAATAATAATTCCAAAATAGGTGTAATTATGTCAAGAGCTATACAAAAAAAAAAGTGAAATCAGAAGTAAATTTCCATGGCCTTTACTTTCATATGAAAGAAGAATAGTTAATATAGTAAAATCAAGTCAAAAAAAAAGAAAAAAAATACTCCTTAAAGTTCTAAGCCCCAATTAATAAGATTCTTCTATTTATTCTTGGAATCTATAATATAAAGTAAATAGGGTAGAATTTAATAAACTATTTTGCAAATATTATAAAAGAAGCACATAAATCGAGTTAATAAAGCTTTCAATTCGGGTTGTTAATAATCTGAAGAGTTTTTTATATACTATTTTATTAAGATATATAATTAAATAAAAAAAAACTTTGTATTGTAAGGTTTGTTTTGATAAATTCGTATTAACCATATTTCAAAGTTGCCATAGTAATCCTTCTTATTCTGTCTATACCCAGTTTTGTAATATAGGTCGTATTAAAAAAACTTTACTAATGCACTGTGAAATGCCGAAAAAGTGAGAGAGCAAAGAAAACTTATAAGTAAAGATGAAGATGACTTACCAATTGTTGATAATACATATAATTTGGAAGATGAAGAAGTAGTAGAAACAGTATTTAGAAAGCTTATTCAAAATGCTCAGAAAATAGATTTTAGTAAAAATTCACAGAGATATATTGGAAATTCTGATTATACGAGACAAAGAAGATTACAACAAAACCGTATAAATGCAGTAGGGAGTTATAAAATAACCCAGTTTTTTGGACAAGTAAATAACTTAAATTTGAATAATGATTCTGTGGAAGACTAGCAATCAGATTCAGAAAGGATTATAATTTTGAGCTTGAAGAAAAATCATTAAAGTGGAAACAAAAACTTCAAGAAACTGAGAAAAGAATACAAAGTTTAATAGACACCACGGAAATGTCAAAGGCAAATAAGGTAAAATATGTTTCTGTAATCTATTATATTCGACTTCTTCAACATGAATCATCTAAAATAGAAGCAAGTCAAGTTGTGGCAACTATTTATAATAGCGGTGAGTATTATGCTAGATGTATACAAGTATAGGAAAAAGGTATCTGGAAGGTAATCTCTTATCTCTATCTCAACATGGAAAGCACCCATCACAATTACTTCTTCATGATGAAGATGTCTCATTAAAAATAGCAAATTACTTAAGAGCAACAAAATTTAAAGTAAATCTAAGACTTGTTAAACAATACTTTGAAAATAATATTTTATCTAAACTTTATATTAATCAAGCGCAAACTATTTTTTTGACTATGGCATAGTGATAGATAAAAAAAATGGGATTCTGTTATAAGAGGTACCAAAAAGGTGTATATATAGATGGCCATGAAAAGGAAGATGTAGTCATATATAATAAAATATTTCTACAAAATATAGTGGAATATGAAAGATTAATGTCTAAGTAGACCGATGTTGATTGTAAAATTTGTGAAGAGCCTTATCTCTTACCCAGTGAATAAAAACATATCCTGATTACCCAGGATAAATGTGTATTCCATTATTATAATGGCACCCATGAATTCTGGACCCCTGAAGGTAAACAGCTATTAAGAAAAAAAGGACTCAGAAAAGGGCTTCATGTTGGTGAATTTCTAGTAGAAACAATTGGAAGATTGAAAAATGAGGAAGGAGAAGCAAGAGTAACAATGCAATTGGGTGCGAATAATGAAAAATATTGGAATAGTGAAAAACTACTCTCCCAAGTAAAAAATATCATAAAATATTTGAGAGAACTCATTCAGGATATGTTGGAGTTTGGGTATTTGATAATGCTATCAATCACACACTTATAGCACCTAATGCGTTAGTAGCTGCTAAAATGAACTTAAAACTTGGTGGATTGCAGCCAAAAATGAGAGATATTGTATAGAATAGAGAAACCCAAAAAATGATATTTCCAGAGGATTATGAAGATGACCCTTCTTTACAACTAGAACAGAAAAGAATGAGACAAATTCTTAGAGAAAGAGGTCTTTGAAAGAATAGAATGTTAGCAGACTGTAAGGTATATAAAAAGACAGGCTGAATTCTGATGTTGTAGATTGTTGTGCATGGCACCTTATTGCAAACCAGCCAGATTTTCTAAATGAATGTAGATTAATTCAACAAGAAATTAAAAAATGTGATTATAAGGTAAGTAAATTACCAAATACAGTAAAACCTTCATAAGTGCATGCTCTTGAAAACTTAATACATACGTATATATATATATATTAAAAAAAGTGTATTTATAGAGGTCGTATATATTTTTTAATCAAAATTTAAGTGTGCATATGCACTTATTGAGGTTTTACTGTATATCAATTAAATAATACTGGTAATTCTTGTCTTAGGTAATTTTCTACTCTAAATTTCACTTGGAACTTAATTATATTGAAATGTGTTGGGGTGTAGCAAAATGACATACCCAAGAAAACTGTGATTATACATAGAAGGGTTTATAAGAAAATGTTCCAATTGCACTTGACTCCGTTCCAGTTGAAAGGATCAGAAAATATGCAAGACTTTCTCACCGATGGATAGATGCCTATCGAAAAGGGTTGACAGGCCAAGCAGCCGAGTATGCTGTTAAAAAACAAAAAAGTTATCGTTCAATTAGTAAAATAGATTTGGTTAAAAATGACGATTAGTTTAATTTTAAACATTTTTAAATTTTCTTAATATTGATAAATATTAATAAATATTAATAAATATGCATATAAAACTTTATAAAACTCATGAAAAAACATTGTAATAAATATACAGTATTTCTTTTGTAATTAATGTTTGTAGTCAATTTCGCATAGTCGATTTTTATCGACTTAGCTGGCTTAGTTAGCTAATTTTCTAAAAAATCAACTTAGTCAATTTTATGTATGATTATATTAAAGTAACCAATCAGATTCAATACACTACCTCTTTTAGTATATATACTAAGAGTGAAGGCTAAAAAATACCAAAAAAAAAATCAATGAACATAAAATATGAGACAAAATATCCAATAATTCCAGAGATAAAAAATATTAATCAACTTTGACCTAGTCGGCTAAGCTGTATTTTAAATATTGACTTAGTCAAGTTGATAAATAAAGATCTACTACAAACACTAAAATTTAGAATAAACTAATTTTCAATTTTTATATAAAATTAAATCTCATCACAATTTTTATTAAATGAATTCAATTATTTTATTTCTAAATCTGTAATTGTTTTCATATTACTTCTAATACATTCATTCTTCTAGAAAATGCAAATTGATAGGAGTAATAATCTATAATTATATGTCTAATGGATGATTTAAAGATAAAAAAAATATATGAAAACAACAATAAAATAAGTAAAAAAATTAAAAGTATTTTTTCTATACTTTCTTGTGCCTCAAATTTATCAAACTTATTGTCAATTTCTTCAATTCTGTCCATTATATTATGAATGTCATTCTTAATTGAATCTTGTTTATTTATGAAGTATCTTTCGATAATGCAATTTATTTGCTTAATATCGATAAATAAAATGTAATTTGGCAAAGTTTCACATTTTTTCTTGACTGTCTTTGAAAAACTGTAATCAACAGATATAGTGTAAATAATTACAGTGTTGTCTTGCAGTAATTAATTAATGATTTTAGTAAGTTGTTCAATATCATTAATATTGATTTTCTCATCATCTGTATTGTTGCAAAAAAACACAAATGATATGTCTCTTATAAGTTCCCACCAAAAGATTGCCACGACTATAAAAAAAAAGAAGTAAAAAGATAAGTAATCATTATTAATTGCATCCTATTCACCACAACCTCTGCGCGAAGCAGGACAAGCTTTTTGGGTATGTATAACAGAGAAGGATGTTCACAGATATTTGTCTGTAGCATGATGTGCTTCCAGTTCTCTGATACCTCCCTAGTGGCAGCATAACTTCAGATACATAACAACAAGAAATTTATTTAATGATTTCTAATCTAAATTCCAGATTAATTTTATTTTGTCTCAGCAAAGCTGAAACTTCTTAGGTAAAAACTGTTGTATCGTTTTGAAATAACATTTGCTTCAAAAGGGTGATTTCATGAATTAAAGAGTTCTTGTTGAATTTGTTGAATGCATAATATAGGTCTAGTTGTTTTTGAAATAAAAGAAGATGGATTGATAATCATTATTTCAGTATTTATCATATCTTATATTAACCAAATTTGGACCGTCAAAATTGTTTACTAATTTCCGGCTGGAATTAATTTTTTAATTTTTTCATTACAAAATAGAAATTCTTAAAAAATAAGCCTGCACTATGGCAAAATTGGCCCAGGAACAATTTTCACTTAATGGGCGGCTATGATTTCATTAGTAAAATTATGAGTAATTCCGGCCTAATTTTTTTGATCGTCACTCTTAGCCAATCAAAATCGAGGATCTGCCGTCCAATTTTGTTGCGGCAGCTATGATATCCGGCAAACTCATATGATCATTATTTTTTCTAAAAATAAATTGCCGGATAACATGGCAAATTGCCGAATACGGTAATTTGACAAATGATTGCCGCTTTGCGTAGGGATGTGAAAAGTCTGGGTCCGGTCCCGACTCGACTCAACTTTGTTAAATGCTCGGTCCCAAGCAGACTTTGACTCGCATCTGCACGTGCATTTAGTACGTATAACATAAAAAAAGCATACTTTGCACTTTTTAAATATACTAGATGCGTGGGACCGAGCATTTAACAAAGGCTCGACTTTTGAGTCGAGTCGGGACCGGATCGAACTTTTCACATCCCTAGCTTTGCGGTACGTGCCCATTTGCCCAAATTACAGTTATAATGTAGTGTTTGTAGTCGATTTGCATTAGTCGATAAAATCGGCTAAGCCGGCTAAGTCAGCCAAAAAATCAACTTTAGTCGACTACGATAGATTATATGGGGGTGAGTCAATAGAAATTAGCTAATTTTTTATAGTAAAAAATTTTTATAACTTTAAACAAGAATAACTTGTTGAAACCTTGACTAAATTTAATAAATAATTTTTTTAAATAATTTTACAAACTTGTAAAATTAATTTAAAAAAAAATTTAATTAAATTTGATTAAGTTTTTGTAAAGTTATCCTTGTTTAAAGTATTTAAAAACTTATTAAAAAATATTTGCTTGGTTTCTATTGACTCAACTCCATATATATTATATTAAAAATTTAGGCCAGTTTATACTAGAATCCGAGACTTCCGAAAAGAAAATCAACGAACATAAAATACGAGCAAGGTTGAGACAAATATTGAGGAAATCTCCGATAACTTATAAAGTTTAATCAAATACAGTAGTGGTTTAGCCGGCTAAGCCGATTTCTAAATATCGACTTAATCAAGTCGATAAATAATGGTCGACTACAAACACTATTTGTAATTAATGAAAATTGCCGTGGTTGTTAAGAACTATATAAGCTATATATATAAATCGTTAGTCACATGATAAAAGTAGCAATTTCTATTGGACAATAGTAGGCTACACTGCAGGTAGAAAATTGGCGCCTATATAAGAGGTGATGGCTTTAGATGAAATCCACTGTATAATTAATATAATTAGCTTAAACTATTACGAAGTGTTTGTAATCATCCATGGAGTCCGAAAGGTAAACATCTTATAATTTTTACGTATAATCACAATTATATTATATTATTTACTTACAATATCTAATGCAAATATTTAGATTATGATAGGCAGTATCATATGGTTTTACAATATGCAAACGAAGGAACTTTACGAGAATACCTGAAAGCAGAATTCAATAATTTA